GTCGCCCTTGACACGGTGTGGAGGAGGCGGCAGCAGCTCAATGCCTTGGACAAAGAGTCGGAGGGTAGGGGCGATTTCGTAGGAAGAGCCTGAGTCTTGGGTGACAATCATGACACTACCTCTCCAGAGTTCTCGCTCTGAATTGGCAGTGCCTCGTTGCGGCCGAGTATTTACCTTTTCTCGCCTGATGCCACAGTATCTCAACAACGGACCACACTTCAAGAACAACGGGGGCTTAAACCGCGTAGGAGCTAAGCTTACTGTTAGCGAGGCCTATCAGCAATACATAGATAAGAGGATGCTTACCACTTTCGTCGTATTCGCCATCGAAGGCTTCGGCCTTGCGTGGCCGTGACGAATAACTACGTCGGCGGCCATCCTCTTCCCACCACGCAGTGGCTTGGTCTGGGGGAGTGTTGTGATGTTCCCTAGGGGCTTCATCGAGGTCCAGCAGGGTGCCGGCAAGGGTACCAACGGTCGCTTTCTTCCACTCGTCGAGATATTGAGGCGGCTTGTACAGACCATCACCTGGGGTCATATCTTCACGCCGCTTGAAAACCATGTTGGAGAAGTGATGGTGATGAGAGCCGTCGGAAGAGAAGCTGTCTGCTCTTTCCGCACGTCTTCGCCCAGCTGCCGCGTCCTGTGGATCAGCATGGTCAACCTGCACTCCCTTTGCAAAAGTTATACCACGTGTCACTGGCGGGATGTACTCTTCGTCGGAGTAGTACTCTGCCCTTGGTGCAGGCTCAGTGGCGCGTCGTCTCACACCCTGGTTGTCGTCCGGCATCTGGATTCGGACTCCTCGGCCACCGGCATCAATAGATGGCCGACCACCGGCGTCAATGGACGGCCTTCTCCCATTGGACGGTGCAGGAGGGAGCTCTTTGTCTCGGGTGGATGGCGGGAAAGCCCGTGAGTCGTAGTACGGCTGTTCGGCTGGGGGTGGGTTCCTCGAACTCGATGCTATGTCCCTCTTCATATGATACCAAGGGTCGCCTGGGGGAGGTTTCTTCAATTTGTTGCTGCCGCTTCTTGTGAGGGAGAGTCCTCCGCTAGGAACGAGTGGCGATTGAGGCTTAGGCTGCGCCTGCTCTGAGAGCTGCGCGTTGTCTTTGGCGGCACGTTCACGAAAGCTGAGGTTCCGCTTCGGTATTCCAGACTCTGCCTCAAGATGGCTCTGAGCAGTGACAACATCTTCTGGATCTTGCAGCGCCCCTGAGCCGTAATAATCCGGCTCATCGTACGGGTGTTGCGTGAGAGGGCCTTGATGACGGGTCGAATTGTCTCGCTGGATTGGCACGTTTCTGGGAGCTCCTCTTGTCACCTCTCTGGGCGCTTCTCTCGGGATATCTCTGGTCACTTCTCTCGGCATTTCTCGGGGTGCATCTCTCGCAACTTCTCGAGGAGCTTCCCTAGATACTTCTCTCGGTACTGGGGCCTGCCTAGTAGCTGCTGGTATAGCTACAGAAGGTCGTCGCGCATGGCTGGTGGAGGGTTGTCGGTCGTGGAACCGCGCTTGTTGGTCAACGGGTTTCTCTTCAGCCCTGAGGGCGGCTCTTTCTCTCGCACGATGTTCAGCAGCTTCGACTCGGGCTCGCTTCTCCTCCTTGGTGATGCTATCGAGCGTCAGCTCAAGCCTTTGGAGAGGTGATCGGTCGTCTGCGAACTTTTTTCGGCGACTTGATGTTCCAGTGGTGGCCCTCCTGGACGGCGGATAGTTGTGTGCTGAGGCGGTCGAGTCTTGTCGGGCAGGCTCGCCAGGAGCTCTCCCGGGGTACTGTGAACCCCCGGTCCTACCACCAGAACTCTGGTAATATTCCTCGGGCTCCATGCCGTCGTCTTCTTCGCCCTCTACGGGGGTAGGGTCGGCCAATTGAGAGGATCCTCCAGGAGCGTCGGGCGACGCGTAGGTGTAGGGAAGACCGCCGTTGCCGTAAGGGTGGCGGTAGCTCACCGGAGGGCCTGGAGGGGCGCCGGGAGCAGTGGGAAGAGAGGATGATTCGGGTTCGTCGAAGTCTTCCTGGTTGCGACTGGGACGGCGTCGTCTGAAGTCGGAGGGCTCTGAAGCTGGGTCGCGAGGAGGCCCGCGTTGGTAGGAAGGCGGTCTGGGAGCGAGGCCTTGGGGAGGAAAGCTGGATGAAGAGGGAGAGTCGTGAGGACTAAAGGTGGACTCGGAGGGCGCCTCGGTAGCCTGTGTTTGGACAGAAGCACGATTAGATCTACGAACCGGCTGGACGTCCAGTGAGGATCTGCGGTCAGCATTATAGGTGTAGTCGTCCGACTCAGACCTGCGGCGGTGATGGGTGGCCTGGGTGACCTGGGCGACCTTGGGCCCCGGCAGCTGGCCCCAGTAGGGCGTGGACATTGAGGGCGACGATGAATGAGGCTGTGATTGGGTGTCGATGGAGCGAGGAGGGCGTCCGGGAACGACGCGACGGAGGGTGTAGGCGGGCGTCTAGCTGGAGAATGGAGCAGCAAAGCAACGAGCCAGCGAGGTGAAAAGAAGTTCTAGGCAGCTGCTAGTTCTGGGTGCTAGTTTGTAAGGTCCAACAGCCGCTCGCTCGATGGTGGATGGAGATGGTGGCGGGTCGAGGCGGGGCGTCCAAGGCGCATGCGAGCTGCCGGGCTAGCCAATGCTGTGCAGCACTGGAGAGTCAAGCAACGCGGACGCAGGCGGGTGCAGCAGCCGGCGGGAAAGGAAGAGCTCAATGATCTTCAGGGGCTGAGTACGGAGTGTCGAGTGGAAAGGACGAGGTTGAAAGAGGATGGCGCGGGCGGGTGGAGGAGGGTCGTGGGCAGATGTGAGATAATCGAGAGAGCTCCTCGAAGTACGCACGTAAGACTGTAAATCAAGCAGCAATGGATGGCCCGTTCATATTTCTCCACACCAGCTACGTAGGGGCGCCAGTGGAGGCTAGAACTGGAACTAGACTAGGTGCCCGCCCGGTTTTTGCTTGTCACCACCTCAAGTGAGATACTCCGGGGCTGGGAAGGGGACGGGCCACCAATCCGTCCACACCACCTAGATCTACCTAAGTACGTAGACTTGGTAAACTGCCCGGGTTGAGCGGCGGATGGCGTTTTGTGTAGCCCTGAAAACCAGGCAGTTCTAGGGTCCTGCGAATACTATACTCCGTACACACAATAAATGCAATGCACAAATAACCAGCTCTCCTGGGCAAGCTGCAGAACACGCCCTGCAGGTTCCCGGACGGAATCTCTTCCATCCATCCGTTCCATTTGACAAGGACACCCAGAGTAGAAAAGAAGGCGGTCGGGGAGACGCTAAACAGGTGGAAAGCCGGGTCCGATGGAGCTTTCCCGGCCTTCCGTTTGGGCTAGGGCTGGGCGGCTACACATCCACCAAGCCGCCAAGCTGTTCGAATAAAAAAAAATGCTGGGCTGGGGACTCGGGGATACACTTTGAACTGGGCTGGGCTGGCCCCTGAGGAACCGTTTTGAGCTGCGTCGACAAACGAGAACGAGACAAAAATGCGGGTGGCTGGTCAAGCGAGGCGGACACGAGCGGAGCTACCGGGCTGCAAGGAACGAGTGGTGGCTGAGATGACGGTATTCGTACCTGTCTTTCACGGACAATTGCCAGCCGACAGAAGCGGTGCTATTTTAGAAGAGAGGAAGATCACATACTACTGTAGCACAAGATTGAACAATCGCGGTTCTCGGTGTTCTGCAGGTTGAAAATGGCACCATGATAGACGACCCAAGATCCATGACAGAGTCGGTAGGGTAGGAGTACGTACCTCTTCAATTAAACAATTAGACCTCATGGCACCAAAGTCCCGGGCTGCTGGCGCTCGGTGCGGGATGGCCCGGGCCACCAAAACCAACCCTACTTTTTGTCTGACATTTCCTGCCACTTTTGCAACCCCAGCATACAAACATTCCTGACCTACAAAGTACTTATTCATTGGCGGAGAAAAATTCGGACATATCCCTTTGGCTGCCGTAAGGGGATTGACCCCTGTCCGTCGTGGCCGAGCTGACATCACGCCCAACCTCCTCTGGTTGTTCCTCGGGTCAAGGCTTTCGGAGCGAACGGTTTCATGCAATGCAATCAATCCAAGCAGCCCCATCCATGTCTCTATCCCTAACAAGGTTTGTTTTTCTTCTTTTACTTTTTCTTTGCTTGCCTGTCACTGGGGGCAATATTGTGGATCGATTTTTCGGATTGTTGTTTGTTTGTAAATTGATTGACTGACGGAATAACAACGGCTACGTGCATCCATCCTGCCAGGGTCATATACCAATGTTTTACGAATACGTCCTATTATTCTGTTGGTCTAATTACAAAGACGCGAGGCGTAGGTCCCTACCTACTCGACAGTATCGTACAAACGAGGGTGCCGAGTAGAACAATCCTTACTACCTACCTCACCTTGTGCTGTACGAAGTACAGATCGCTGCTGGAGGCTTCTCAACTCGACCGCTTGCTCGTGACACCGATGTCTCGTCTCTATTCGCCATTTTTCATTCCTGTCGATAATGGCTTGTCCCATCATTTGTCCCTCCAAATCGATCCAGTGCTCCCTCTTAGCTACGCAATAGTGCGAAACTTCATTCGTTGTAGATCGATCATGCATTCGAATGAGTGACGGCGGAACATCAACTCGGTGTCAGACTAGACGCTTCAGCGATCGGTGCACAAACATATTCACCACACATCTAACTTATTCGTGTAACGACGTAATTGTTGACTGTGACCACGTCAGTCGACGAAACGATCAACTGATAGTAAGTAGGTCACCGGTTCGTTGAGTGGATGACAATGCACTTTAACTCGGCTTGAAAAGTAAAGAACTTGAAGCTTTGCCGACCGCCTTGATCATAACATCTCATTGTGTCTGTACTCGGCGACTCACAACTTGGCACAACAAGCGACCCCCCACGAACTAGAATACTTATCAAGGAGGGTGCCAAAAAGCAAAGAAATTTGACAAATAGAGTAAAAATAATCAGATGGCATGGTGAGACATTTTTGCTCCCAGCAGGGCTTGAACCTGCGACCTTCGCATTACCAATGCTAGCAAGTTGTAGTATTAGTACGAAGCTCTAACCAACTGAGCTATGGAAGCCTTCCAATTCGTTAAAACTGTGTCCCAAAATAGTACTTATATATCTAAATAGCGGGGTTAATCTCGAAGGTGGATACTCAAACGAACGGACTGGCGCACTGACTGACAGAAAGGCATGATTGATTGCTCAAGCTACTGACACTGATCTAAGAGCCAAAACAAAGGAATTTCATGCCTAACCCATCATCATGCGCTCTTTCAAAGCTCCGGTGGCCCAATTGCTTATACAACTCATGTGCACATTGCCGATTGGTTGCGTGCCATGCATCGGAGATATTTGACGCAAGATAATCAATCTATTGAACCCACAAACACGCGACTCCCCGTCCATACGAGAAAACAACCGCCTGAAGCAGTACCCCATCAACACCCAACGACGAACCCCCACGCTTTCAGACCAATCCCTTCCCAGCTTCGTGTTCTTCGGGACTTTGGCATGTAAGCTCTAGCTAAGGTTGTAGCCCCGGCTCCGAGGTCGGGGGAAAACCTTGGCAGGCGCACTACGACTCGGAGATGTTTCGCCACGCATCTTGCCCAGAAGACGTGAAAAGAACCCACAGAGTCAAAGTGGCAATGAACAATAAGGCCAAGGCTGTACGGTAAGGGACCGTCTTCCGATTACGTAGCCATTTGATATAATCAGGTAGGCTCACATACGTCTTGTCGTTGTCTTGGTCGAGCTCGCGGCCTTCGTAGTACACGACCAGGGGCCTCAATATCGTGTACTTCGCCACGCCAGTCTTCTCCGTGCCATTGCCGACAGGCCTGTAACGGATGATCTCGGGAACGGCAGAGATTTTGACTCGCGCTGTCGTATTGTATCTCGCAGCTAGCGAGCGCTTGCTGGCCCGCCTCTCCGCCACATTCTTGGAGAACACATACACGTCCTGACCTAAATTGTCCTGGCGCCAATTGTAATGTTCACCTGGCTTAGTCCAGTCTGAGACGACGATGGCAGGTGAGAGTCGATTGCAAATATTGAGCCAGCCAGCATATGCAATCACATCGTGAAGCCACTGGTGGAGCTCCTGAATCGAAGGCGGTTGCCACCCTTCGATCTTACTCGTCCATGAAAAGACTGGAAGGACCAGGACCAAGACCTGAGTGGATAGCTTGTCGATCTCCTTCCAGAAGAGAGGGGGCAGTCCGCCTTTCGTTCGCAGGTATAGACGATTGGTTTGGGCACGAACACGGCTGCGTCGAAATCCTAGGAGCCAGTTAGCTTCAAGACGCTCATGCCGTGTAACAGTATAAACGCACCTTCTGCATTGACCAGCGAAGAATCAGTCGACTGCAGGATATTCTGGTGCTCGTGATCGGCACCGAATAACAGACTCGAGAAGACCTTGGCGTCAATGATCATCATGATGATGGCCTGAAGGAGACAACTTCGTTCCGTTCCATCGCGAAGCAGCCTTTCCCATTTCCCGGCATGGGGGTCTGGACGAGCTAGAAGCTCTACAAATTTGAGAAACTGTTCTGGGTATGCTTCCAGCCATGGTGAGGATCTGGGGCTGCCTGATGGGCAGAAGGCCCTTTCCACGAGGAAACGAATTTCGACGACGAGGTTGGAGTAGTGGAGCTCGAAGAACTCGTCGGGGTGATCTGGCAACGCCTGGTCGAACGCTAAAGAGCGCCGGCTAGGGCAGAATCGTGAGAGCTCCTTCATCTCTGCTGGTGGACGATAAGGACAGTATAGTCCTCTTTCTGGGGGTGGTAGCCGTTTAGGTGAGGGTGGGGGTGACAGCGTGAAGATTGGTCAAGTGCTGGGTATCTGAGTGGGAAAACCGGGATAAAACGCGAGAAAACGAGCGACGAAGAAAAGCAATCCAGGACGGTAGTTGGCCTCAGCGAGAGGTCGAAGATCTCATAGATGTGGTGGTGCCGGCTCTTTGAGGGATGGCGGCCAGGAAGGTCATGCCGGAACTTATCATCAAGAGAGAGCTGCTTCTAGTCTTGCTCTTGGAAGCAGCCTCCTTGGTCTTGGCGGTATCTTTCTCAAAGGAAGTGGTCCGTGTGTTGTGGTCCATGATGTTTGTCTGGTGATCAAACAAGTAGGCTAAGGTCGTTGGTAGAATGGTATTGATAGGTAGAGTGTGTAAGGTAACAAAGAATCAGTTATGGAGGTTGTTGGAGGGGGACTTGGAAAATGAGAGTCTTTGTCCGTGGGCGAGAGGAAGCTATTAAAGAAGACTCGAGATGACAAAGACTCGGCGTTCCAGCCCAAGCAGGTGTCAGCAAGTGCCGTGAAAGAGGCTCTGGTGAGGGGCAATGCCCGCGTGGAGGGGTCGTGAGCGTGGGATGGAATGGAGTTGAGACGCGACAAGATTCCAGAACGGCATAGCCAGATCCGTGGTCTCATGCATGGGACGTGGCTTCGCTGATCATTGGGATCAGCCAACGGCGGGAATACGTAATGATGCTGGTGCATCCCGTGGGCCGTGGTGCCCTGGAACCTGTCCTGGCAAGGGAGATGCCACGCCGGGTGAACTGGGGCGAGAAGCGGCCTTAGTTCTCACCGCGGGCGCCTCATTCATTCATCCATTCATCCATCGACCAGGGCGGCAAGGGAGAAAGAAGGCTGCGGGCGCTGGTGCAACGTGGTTGGCGTTGCGACGCTCAGAGACGGTAGATGCCGTTGGATCATTGTGTATGGTGGCTGGGGCGCCAAATCCGTTCCACCGCGCATCATAAGATCGTCATCCGGGTTTAGCAAATGCTCGGGGGTTTGGAGTGCATGACCACGAGGGACAAATCGTTCGAGGGACGGGTGGAACGTGGGGGTTCGTTGTGATCCATCATGAAGGACTGAGGTCAATATCTCGGGAACTAGACAAGGTACCTAGTCTAAGCAACTAGGCTCGGACAGACGATGCATCATGGGCAATGGGGAAGTTGGCGACGCTCCACTTGAGAAGAATATTTTCTGTATGGCATGGAAACCAGTCCCTTTCTTGACGGGGGAAGATGCTTCTAGCTTAGTTGTCTCCGAGAGTGCATGCTTATTACTTAGTAGTCTAGCCACTCAGGCACGTTGCCTTGTTTACTTGGCTGCGGCGACTGGTTGGCATGTCGGCTGATACATAAGGAATGGCAACGACAGTGTTGTGCAGTTGATCATGGAGAAAGCGACTAAGTCGATGATTCCCTCTATGTTAAGCTTAGATTAGAGACAAAACGGCTCTAGTTTCTCTCATCCACTACCTACCTAGATACCTTAGGACAGGTCGAGTCAATCATCCTATCTCAAGGCAAACCCGTCATGTCGCTGAGATGAAGTGAAAACTAACACTCAACCTTGGAAAAGTCAGTGCTTCGTGCCCGCCATGCCCGGTGTGATTCGAGCTCGAATCTGGTATTGGCCACTCCGCTCCTTCTCCGCCCACGATTCCAGGGTGCCTTCCATGGAAGCTCGAGTGAATCATGCCTGGGAATTAAGGCATGGATAATAACCTTGATCCACTCCGACTTGAAGCTAAGCGCAAACTCGAACGGCTGATGCCCGGAGAGCCCAGCACAACGTTAGGTCAGCACCGATATCTTTTTGCAGCTGGGGCTTTCGCGAATCGAAACCGCCCTCAAACAAACGACCCTCGCAGCTTCCAGTCAATCACCACCCGCTCCAATACCTCATCACCGACTGTTGCCTGGCGCAAAGTCGCTCTCCGAAGAAGCGCAAGCGGAAAGAACCAGTCGACCTATTTCTTTCTCGTCGCCCCACTTTCCTTCCATCTCCCACTTTCCTCCGCCATCCTCAACAGTGCCCCGCGATTCCACACGCATCTTTGATCCCAGCCGTCGCAACCTCGATTTTCCGAGAATCCCACACATCACGAACCACAATGGCCGCTACCGAAGCTGAGGCGCCCAAGATGGACGAGCAGGTCGACCTCTCTACCATCCCCATCGACCCTAACGGCAAGGAGGAGTCGTCCGACTCCTCTAAGGATGGCGCGGCCGTCACCGTCTTCCACGACAAGGACAACTTTAACGTCAAGCACCCTCTTCAGAGCAAGTGGACTCTTTGGTTCACCAAGCCCCCGTCCGGAAAGGTATGATGGTCGAGTTTGATAATCATCCCTCAGAGCATGTGTTGACCGTAACGCAGGGCGACAACTGGAATGATCTCCTCAAGGAAGTTATTACCTTTGACTCCGTCGAGGAGTTTTGGGGTGTCTACGTGAGTACTGCCTATGCATTCTCTGTGCTCGATTTATCTAACGTAATTCCCAGAACAATGTTGCTCCCGTTTCTGAGCTCGCTCTCAAGTCCGATTACCACCTGTTCAAAGCCGGCGTCCGCCCCGAGTGGGAAGACCCTCAGAATAAGCACGGTGGCAAGTGGTCTTACCAGTACAAGAACAAAGGCAGTGTCGATGTGGACCGCCTCTGGCTTCAGGTCATGATGGCCGCCATCGGCGAGACCCTCGAGAAGGACGAGGAGGATGGTGAGGTCATGGGCGTTGTGGTCAACGTTCGTAAGGCCTTCTACCGAATTGGTGTCTGGACTCGCACCATTGGCAAGAGCATTCCCGGCCGCGGCGATGGCGATGTTGCCGGTGGCAAGGGTCGCAGCCCCGAGAAGGGCAAGGAGGTCCTGATGTCTATCGGCCGTCGCTTCAAAGAGGTCTTGGAGCTGCCCCCACAGGAGCAGATCGAGTACTCTGGTCACACCGACAGCGCTCACGCCGGAAGTACGAGAGCCAAGGCCAAAATGGTGGTCTAAAGCGGAGGTGCTTGCGGATGAACAGGGATGAATATTGACTTAGCAAAATATCCAGTAACAAGCCTGGTCTATTTTCTCCTTTACCTGTCACATAATATACCTCATGGTGGGCGGATAGGACACGAGCTGGACGAAATTACTCGGAAGCAAGAAGGCAGGTAGCCGAGATCATGACGAAGAGATCTGGTTCCCTCGTGGCCATGGCTCGGACCAGACGTAAAAGTTTTCCCAAGTTTATGATGGCGTTGCTAGGGAAGGTCTTTCAGTGGAACGGT